TCCGTGCACTGCCCCTGCCCATAGGCACTGCCCCACAGCTCCTGTTGGCCACAGTTCACAGCCAATGTGAGCTACAGAGTTGGCACTCGGGCTAGGGCAGCACACCGAGACCCCTGGCCTCCACCCAGGAGCCGCAGAGTGGTGCCAGCTGCTTCCAGGAGCCGTGTGGAGCCAGGGCAAGTAGGAAGCCTGCTTAGCCCTGCTGTGCTGCCAGACTTTTAGCACCTAAAATCTCCCAGTTTGGCTTCAGTAGTCTCCGGAAAATAGAGGGGAGGAGGAGTTGATCAGCGATGCCTGCAGATCCCCTGGAGTATCCTCGGGGACCCCCAGGGTCCGCAGAACCCAGTTTGAGAAAAGCTGGTCTAGATAATTACTTAGTCCTGCCTTAAGTGCAGGGGACTGGACTAGAAGACATCCCTTCCAGTCCTCAGATTCTATGATTCTACCTTCATGCTAGACTGGAAACCTACTACTGGAGCGGTTGCACCATAACTCACCTCCTGTGTCCTTGAAACATGCAGAGGCAACATCACATTGCTGTGTAAATGCAACAGGGTCAGGCTATCGTTTGTCTCATTAGACAAGCAGCCCCCTGAGCCCCACTGAAATGCACCTAACGACTCTTGACTCCCACCTCTATAGTCCCCCAAGGTGATTTTATCAAATGGTCAGCAGACACGTCTGGCAGAGAAGAGACTGGGGTTTAATAGGTTCTCTTCAGGGGACAGTTTTGTAAGTATTCTCAAGAGTGGCAGTAATGGTAAGATAATGGCCTATGTTCTCATAGCAGCTTCTAGCCCAAAGGAGGCCAAAAAAGGAATCACTTCACCCAGCACTGCCATGCAGCCACCTCTGGGGTGGAACATGGCAGCTCTTTAACAGAATCCTAAAACACTAAACAACAATTTAGGATATTAAGTCCTGCATTCAGCTGAAAATTCAGGGGGAAATTTGAAGAACAGGCGATTATAAATGACACCACAGTCAGAAATGGGCCAGGACCAGAGCTACTACCCTGATATTTGTGAAAAGTGAGTTGGAATCTTTCACACCCAAGGCTTTGGTTTTACAGCTCATCCAAAAGACAGTAGCCCCTCCACCAGCACACTTGGTATGAAAATGCCATAGAAATGCAAGGTATTATTATTACAGCCTAATCTGGAAACAGAGAGATTTTCTCTGACGGAACCAGCAAACTCAAGCATCTGTTCTACCCCACAAAGTGTCCAGCGTGTAAAAATGAGCAGCATAGTGGAAGCATTTGTAAACATGTCTCCCCTGCCATGCAGAAGTTGCTGAGGTGGGGAGAAGGGCCCACATTCTCCAATGTCCCTAGTTCCCATTGAAATGCACCTAAATCCCTTTGAGCATCTGGGCCAAGGTGCTCCACACAGGCAGCCAGGGTTCTCTGGCTGCTGAAGTAGGAATAAATCTCTTTTTACACAATAGAAAGAAAATACCGTCACTAACAGTAAAAGGCTGCCCTATGTGTAGAGTCCTACCAAATTCACAGCTGTGAAAAATGCATCATGGACCATGAAATCTGGTCTCTGCTGTGAAATCTGTTTTTTTGTTTACTTTCACCCTATACTATACAGATTTCATGGGAGAGACCACTGTTTCTCAAACTGGGGGTCCTGACCTAAAAAGAGGTATGGGGTGGGTCACGAGCAAAGTTCCCTCTAATTTTTGACAGGCTGTGTGTGCAAAAAATTTCTTCTGTGCAAATTTTTGTGCTTCTGTGCAAATATTTGTGTGCACGGTGTTTCGCCGTGTGCGGGGGGTTTAGGATCTGTGTGCGTGCGTACATGCGCACAGCTTTGAGGGAACAGTGGTCGCAAGGTTATTGTAGGAGGGGTTGTGGGATCGCCACCCTTACTTCTGTGCTGTCTTCAGAGAGCGGCAGCTGCTGTCCAGGCGCCCAGCTCTGAAGGCAGTGCCACTGCCAGCAACAGTGCAGAAGGAAGGGTGGCAACGCCCTGCCACCTTCCTTCTGCCCTGCTGCCTTCAAAGCTGGGCGGCTGGAGAACGGCAGCTCTTGACTGAGGGCCCAGCTCTGAAGGCAGCAGCGCAGAAGGAAGGGTGACAATATCACACCATGCCACCCTTCCTTCTGCCCTGCTGCCTTCAAAGCTGGGCGGCTGGAGAACGGCAGCTCTTGACTGAGGGCCCAGCTCTGAAGGCAGCAGCGCAGAAGGAAGGGTGACAATATCACACCATGCCACCCTTCCTTCTGCCCTGCTGCCTTCAAAGCTGGGCGGCTGGAGAACGGCAGCTCTTGACTGAGGGCCCAGCTCTGAAGGCAGCAGCGCAGAAGGAAGGGTGACAATATCACACCATGCCATCCTGATTTCTGCAAAGCTGCTGGTGGCAGTGCTGCCTTACGAGCTGGGCGCCTGGACAGCAGCTGCTGCTCTCCAGCCACCTACCTCTGAAGGCAGTGCAGAAGTAAGGGTGGCAATACTGCGAACCCCCTACAATAACTTGTGACCCCCCCCCCCACAACCCTCTTTTGGGTCAGGACCCCGAGTTACAATACTGTGAAATTTTAGATTAAATATCTGAAATAATAAAATGTATTATTTTAAAAAATCTACGACCGTGAAATTGACCAAAATGGACCGTGAATTTGGTGGGGCCCCCCCTATGTGTAGGGAACCTGCTGTGCAAAGGGCCTGTCAGTCAAGCCATTCTCACTGTGGCCTTGTCTACACACAAAGTTGTACTGGTTTCACTGAATTGCTTTTAAATCAACTTAAGTTAGTGGTGTAGTGCAAAGACGCATGTGCACTCTTGAATTGGTTTAAAAGTGTTTTTTCTCAATTCAGTTTAAACCACTTAGAAGCCAAATTAAACTAAATGATTGTAAGCCACATTTAAATCAATTTAGGTGTATCCACACAGGTTTTTCACTGATTTAACTAAACTGATTTAAAAGCACATTATAGTGAAACTGGCACAAGTCTGTGTGCAGATCAGGCATAGACCAAAATGTCACTCCTGGTAGATAGCTTTCAAATGAGTGATGAGAGCATAAAGGGGTTGTGACATCAGAAGACTGACTGCATTGAAAACTCACTCCTTCCCACTTTCTTTACCAAGGGTACAGCAAAGCCATGACTTTAAGCATAGCACTAGATGTGCACGTATTGCCATGATTAGAATCTGGGCCAAGCTCCTTCCCTCTGCCACTACTTATACCTGTGATTATTGACAGGGAAACAATTATAAGGAGCATCTCTTCCCTGAGGAGGGACTATAAAAATGGTACAATGGTTTTCATGTTTCTTGTTCCTCCAGAACAAATGCGCTCAGTTTTTGACAGCCAGCCCTTGGATCAGAGAGCAAAGCTGGGCTCATTCCTTCCCATGCATCATCGCTGGTAATTAAAATTCTGCAGACCACATTACAGCTTCAGTAATGCCATTGTGTTCTGGGATCAGATAACTGGGGCCCTGTCATTGAAACTCAGTTGATAGTTCTGTTGATGAAAAGTGCTACATAAGAAGTAGGTATTTATTATTAATATTTTATTAATCATAATTATTATTATTGATTATAATTATGCAAAAGCCAGAATACAATCTGACACACTCTCCCAGAGCTATGTGACTTTCCAGCAGTTAAGAGCAGTCAAAAGTTATTGGGGTTTTTGTTTGTTTGGTCACTAAGGTCAGGAAAATGGAGTCAGACACAAACAGCTAGCAGGTCTGCTGAGTATGGAGAGGGTCACTGCTGCAGACACATTCAAAGCAGGGTCTCACTGTAAGCATCTAACTCACTTTTCTTTGCCCATTCAGTTTATTTACTTTTTGCCTTTTACTCAGCAAACAGTGAAACAGGCTGGTCAGTTTCCGGTTCTGTTTCTTGTCAGTTTCACTTCCTGGTTCCCATGCACTGGCCCAAGGCTGGGTTGCGGACACTGCAGGATGTTGGCTAAACCCAAGCTATAGAGGTTCAATGAAATGTGAAAAGAAACGCACAAAAGCCTATTAGCTGGAGTCCAGCTCTGTAAATCCTGAGACACGGGCAGTGAAACAAGTAACTGCCTCCTCCAGCCGGTGACTGCTCTGCAGTAAGAGTCTCTAATCCCCAATCCATGGTCATTAGAGTGGAGGGGGCATTTCCCCCACTCCCAGGGATGCTAGAGAGTACTTTTTCCTCCACCCAGGCCTGGCCTCCACTGGGATGTTTATAAATAAATACTCCTGGCATCGTTTTCTTAGCCCAGCCTCAGTATTGACTTTGCCTTAGGTGAGTAGATTAATAATTAATGCAGGCTGCAGCCCTGCAGGCAGGTGGCAAGGAGCAGCTCCTGTTATTTGTGGCTCCCTGTTAGCACTGGGAGCAGGGGCATGGTGACTTACCACCTTCCTAACGAGAGTAACACAGCTGTGCCCATACAGAGAACATGGCCCCAACTGCCCCTCCCAGACAGCATGTCCCCTACAGCTATCCCCACTTTCCTGTAGACACACATGACCCCCACTGCTACCCCCAGAGACAGCAGGTTTCCCACAATTACCCCCACCCCTGCAGCCCTCCCAGCCCCAAAAGCCTGTCCCCAGTGGCACTCCTCCGGCAGAGCAGGCATCCCAGAGGAAAAGGAGGTCTCTCACTCTTCCCCATACATCTCCCTCTCCAAAGCCCATGCTCCCTGCTGCACCCGCAAACACTGTCAGTGACAGCCAGACTCTTTACAAACAGTGTCCTGGCACACACAGACTCTACTACCCCACTGCACGCAACCACCCAGTGCTCTGACTATATGCTTTCCCTTCCCCATTACAGACAAACACTCTATCACCCCCTCACCCCTTTCCATTCTTTCACCACACATAATCCCCTATGCACGGTCTCTCTCTCTCTCACACACACCCAACACACACTCCCCCACATGCTCTCTCACACACACATGTCCCCTGCACGCTCTCTCTCTCTCACACACGCACTCCCCATTGCAGTAGATATGTTGTAAAAAAAAACCCTGTGAACCTCACCTTTTCCTTGGCTTAAGCTCCTCTCTGCAAACTTCCCTTTTCTTCCAGGGCTCAGTCGGACCAGACTGCACGCAAAGGGCGTTGCGATGCTGCTTCAACATGGAATCTCCTGGGCAGCTATCCCAGTGCCAGCTCTTACAAGGCAGCTCAGCCCTCCCTAGAAGTCGTGGCCACCTTCCCTATGCCAACTCCACGGTGCCAGGGCCATGCCATCAGCTTGGGACTTTGGAGCAGGCAGTTTCTTTCCAATGGTGCCTGCTATCTCCAGGATCTCAGACTCTCCTCCCAGGTGTGGAGCTGGGGCTGGACCCTCCCACCATCTCCTGGAGGGAGACTGTCCCGAGAATGAACTCTCACCATCACCCTAGCTGGCTCCCTGGCTTGTCCCTCCTCCCACTTCAAGCCGCACAGAGAGCTCATTCACAGCCCTCCCTTCCGGGGCTGAGAACAACAGAACCATTTGTATCCTTCTGCAGCATTGACATCAACAAAGACATTGTCACTGAAGACCATGCACTCTTTCCCCATTTCTCCTGCTAGGCACAGAAAAATGCAGCCTTACCAACCATGGCAGGAGCCCAGGGCCCAGAGCATGCAGATAAAACAGCCAGGGCTGGGAGCTTGTGGCAGGCACTGGTGTTCACTTGTGGAGCCACTGGCTTTTGGGGCCAGGTCCCACTTGACCACAGGACAGGTTTCCATTGGTGGCTAGTGGAGAGGGCCCTACCCATAACCCAGCAGGCAGGCGTGGCAGGCTGGGAGGCGGACGGGTTCCTGGCTCATCTGGCAGCTGCTAGCAGGGATGGGGTTTCAAGATTGGCTGAGATTTCTCAGTAAACACACAGTAAGAGGTTCAATACAGCAGGGCCTGTTCCACCCACCAGGGCTGGGGGAGAGGCAGACAGCAAGCCCCACTGTAGCTGCTCGTTGGCCAGGAATGGTCTCCCATGTGCTGGGGCTGGGAAATGGCTTCATACTGCTCAGGAGGTTGCTCACAGTGGGCCTGGTTTGAAGCCAATTGAAATCAGTGGGGATCTTTCCATAGACTCCAGTGGCCTTTGGAGCTGGCTCAGCATGCGAGCTGGAAACCGCAGGTGGCTGGCACTGCTCCAAGCACCTCCTCGAGCACACTGCTTCGCAGACTGGGAGGGGCCAGCCTTTTCCCAGAGGCTTAGCTCCACTCCAGAGGGGGCTTTGAAAAGGGGGGTTGGGCGGGGCAACCTTGCTGCTTTGACCTTGGGGGGAGCTGTGATCTGGATCTGAACTCTGTGGCCGAGGCTTGTCTCAGAGATCCTGTCCAAGGCAGAGTCTGTCGCTGCTCAGCCCTATCCCGATTCCAAGCCAGAAGCTGACATCTCACAGCCCATGCCTGGCCTGCTCAGTCCCTGCTCACTCATCACTGTCCCAGTCTCACTGATTCCCCAGCCAGCCTTTCTCTAACGGAATCGCTGATCCCCTCCACTTACCTCTTTATTTATTTATAGACTTTTATGGGCATCATCAGGGAGCAGCTGAGTCCCTGCCAAGTTATTAAAGTCCAATTACAATCACACAAACTCTCTTGCCCTCTCTTCACTGACAGGCCATAGCATTATTTTTTCTGGTGTGTTTAAGTGGGTGAAGTTGGCCAAGGCTTATCTTGCCTCTGGCTATTGTCTTCTCCGCAACACAGATGGATTTTTTTTGGGGGGGGGGTGGGTCATGACAGCACGTTAGCCAGCCCACTGTCAAGTTCTAGTGGAGTTCTACCATGGGTCAACAATATTCTGCTGCCCATGGTTGACCTTGCCTAGCCTCTTGCATCCATTTTCAGTGTAAAAACACATATTATTTGGCAGTGAAGACAAAGCCTGTGTGTGGAGAGCTCTTGAGGGGAAACTAAGCTGAAGAGATGAGTTTTGCATTGAGTTCTGATCCCTCTGAGGCCCGTGGTCTTGTCTCTCATGTGGCAGGGAGTTCCACAGTCTAAGCCCTTCGCCCATGAGGGTTCTGACTCCTGTACTCACGAACCTCCCCCATTGGAGACAGTGTCGGGCCCCGGAGGCACATAGTTGTCATGGGACATTGTGCTCGTGGAGGGAGAGGCGTCTCTCAGGCAGCAGGGCCTGTTCCTTGGAGGACTGGGACAGCAGGGTCCTGCGCTGGTCTCTGTTCAATGGGGTGCAGCGCTGGGGTGCTGTGCTCAGGGCACAGGTGTGCTGCTAAGTGGACAGGCTGCTGTGCATGGCACCAGCTGGCATATACCCAGGGTGTGCTCCATCGTGGCAGCTGAGCCGCCCTAATGGAGCTGGGAAGTCCTAAATGTCCTCACCGTGGCCAGGTCTGTGTCAGGCAGGACAGGGCATGATTGTCTGGCTAGTCATAGTCAGAGGAGGGCAGTTTGTGCTGTCTGGGCTATTTGGGCAGCCAGTATCCCCAAGGGGCAGGTGCCCTTGATCGAGGGGGAAGTTATGGAAGAGGAGAGATCTTCATGGCACTTCCCTCTTCATAGCAGCATTGCCTCTGTCTCACCTGGGTGTGGTGTTCACCAGCTGCTCTTTGTCCAGGGGCTGGTCCCAGCCAGGCACCAGGAGAACAGGGAGAGGGAGCTGGTCACATCTGCCAGAGCGGACACATAGAGCTGGGTGCCACCTGTGTGTGGCTGGCATTTCAGCCCCTAGTGTCTAATCAGTTCCTCCGGTGGCTTCATATAGCTGCTGAACCTCCATCGCTGATCATCTCCTATTACCCCTCATTTCCACTATCAGCAGACCCTTCTATGACCACTGCGGCCAGGCCAGGATGTAGGAAGACCCTGTGCAGTCCAACTACGCAGCTCAGGATGGCAGATACACAGCCAAAGAGGACCACAGGGTCTATCTGTGTCTAGTAGCCTCAGTACAGAATCCCCTTTTAGTCACTACAATCAAGGCCTGTCTCTTTTGTACGGTGAGGGATGCTTCATCCATCACCCACCCACTCACAGACTGGCACTGTTAGTCTGGGTAGGAGGGTTCTGGACCAGCCGCTAGAGATGCCCCAGCTGAAGCCCAGTTGCTGCTCTGAAAGATGCCTCTGCCAGGCCTGTCTCTGATTCGCACAGCTCCTATTCATGCCTGGATCCAGCCCAGACCTGGCCATGGTGCTGCCCGCAGACCTGTGTGGGGAGGAGGGGTAGGGCCCGGCCTGGGGCATGAAGCAGTGTTTTGTTCAGAGGAAACAAACCAGCCCTTTGCTGGCAGCTCCTGGTGGGGAGCTGGGGACCGAGGTGGCCCACAGGCTCCTTTGTCCCCAGCAGGCAGCGTAAGCGGAGCTGAAGTGGGAGGCGCGTGAGTGATCTTTCCACCCGCGGCAGCAGCGGACCCCGGCTCCCATCTGCCTGGACCGCCTAACACATCACCCCAGGCACAGAATAGGGGCCATTGTTCAGCCAGCCCCAGCCCTGGCTCCCTCCCATCTGCCTATAAGCCAGGCTGCTGCTTTTAAAGGGGACGACACAGCAGCACTTTGCTCCCCAAGGGCTTGCTGTGCCCTGCCCCAGGCAGCTCTTGGGGTCCTACTCAGAAGAAGCCAGCATTTGCTGTGCTGGGCAATGAGCCCTGTGCCGTCATGTGCCTTTCTCATCCCCGTCCACTGCACCTTGCTCTCCATATTGCACCCCTCACTTGCCACCTTGCATGTCTGGCGCAGCCCCGTGCATGCCTGACACCTCACACTGCACCTCCTGGTCCTTGCCCACCCCTCCCCCTGTGCTGTGCACTGATGACCATGGCCTTTGTACTCCTTGCACACCTCGAGCTGCATGCATCACACGGCATCTTCCATGCCTCGTGCCACACCTTGGCCTAGTCTACACTGGCAAAAAGGGACCTGTAATTTTCCATCAGTACAGCAATGATAGAAGCTGTAGTGTAGACAGTGTCCAGAGACTGCACATACATTACACCAGACACTGCCTGAACCATGGCTCTCATTTTTGCAAGTGTGAACCCAGTCCTTGTGTCTGGAAGAACTCCCCTGTGTTGGGGGTTCACGCTGAACAGGGTGAGCCCCCAAAGGTCGCTCCAGGTTTGATCAGAACAGAATCAGTCAGCAGCATGTACCTGGCGCTTGAACTCAAATGGCTCGTGAGCCCCAGACAGCTGAATGCATCCAGGACAATCTATTGGTAAATGCCCTGAATAGGCCATGAAGCAGATCTGAATTCTGCAGCTCAGACCAATCTCACAGTGTCATTCATACCGGGTTTGGATCTGGATCTAGGCTTCCCCAGTGTTTGGCTCCAGGGTATGGGTTTGCCCTGTCTCTAGTAGCACTGCCTTCTCCATGGACTACCAGAATCCTGGGACATAGTAAGGTTCTCTCTTTCTGCACCCTGAGGGACCATGCTTCCTTACTTTATACTCAAAGCATAACTAACCAGAGGACCTCCCAGCCACAGGATATCATGAAGGTCATGAGCTTAGCAGGGTTCCAAAGAGAATGAGAGACTGATAAGAATCAGAAAAGCCACAGCTATTTTAGCTAGGATAAAAATGTGGAAGAGAAATCAACTCTCATCCTTCAGGGCATGAGCAAACCACTAGCTGCTGGGGTCAGGAACCAACATCTCCCATGGGCAGAGTAGACTATAACTATCCAGTGTGGAGGATTTACACCTTCTTTTGAAATACCTTCCACAGGCCCTTGTCAGATACTTGAGCTGAAAGATTCCCCTGCCAGTCTAGGGTCCTACATTAGGCCAGGTCTTACATCTATCTAGCTCCCAGCCACTGCCTCAGTTCATCAGGCTCCCAGCTGCTGCCTTAGTGCCCCCTTGTTTTGGGACTGTGATACAGGCCCCTGACAAGCTCTGGCCTTCAGCAAAGCAGGTCTGAGAGAGCCACGAGTTCCTCCCACCACCTAAAGGGCCCAAGTCTCCATGGCACTGAGCAGCCCGCCCACCACCCCCTTGACCAGCTCTGGAATGGGGAGAATTCCAGACGCATGCCAGTGGTTCAGCTCTGCCCTCTGGGGCCTCTATTCATCAGGAGGACAGGGGAGGGGCACAGCGAGTTTGTGCGCCCTGCCTGTGTATTTCTGATCAGATTGGCCTGCCACCCCCTTTCACCCCATCCCATTCCAGGATCTGGGGAGGAAACAGCCCCTGAAAGCTGTAGCTCTGACAGGTCAGCTGTAGCCAGGACAGGGACTTTGAGAGTGCCCATGCTGCAGCTGGGGATCTTTGTCCTGATCCATGCTGGCCGGTATAGAAGGAGTGCTGCTGCTGTCCGCTCAGTCGAACAAAGGCAGCCAGGGCAGGGCTCTGTGTTGGGAGTGTCAGAAAGAATGAGGTGCTCACGGAGAGCCCTAGGTTCTGGACATTGTGTCACCAGCTGGTACAGCCCCACTCTGGGGGAGCTGCTGGGAGGGGCTGGCAGCACTGCACAGGAGACTGGGTAACAGGGAAAAGTCACGTTTCACTGCTCTGTGCCCCAGGGAGTGCCCCGGCCGTGCTGCAGATACAGCCCAGGTTGAGTGGCCAGGTCTTTCCATTCTCCTGACACTGCAGATTAAAAGTGCTTAATCACAGGGGGCAGGCGTTAAAGCTTTCTGTGGGGGGAGGGCAATTCACCAAGGCATCAGCTCCCCTGCTCCTGGGAAGAGCCTTGACCTCTCTGCTGAGACTTCTGGCAAAGGGGCCAAGACATGCCCAGCAGCCTGTCGATACTTGTCTTAGACCTTGTTTACACTGAAAGGTTGTGCTGCTTTGTCAGCATAGTTAC